CGCTGGGGAGCGGCGCCGCCGGCGCATGGGGACCCCCAGCGGGGGGCGGGGAGCGGCGCCGGCGGTGCAGCGCGGAGCCCAGGTGCGGCCGGGAGGAGGGTGCCGCCAGCTCGGGGCGCGATGCGGGGTGCAGCGGGTGGGGTGCAAGGGATGGAGGGTGCAGCAGGCTGCGTACACGGGGCGGGGTGCAGGGTGTAGCAGGGCTGCGGGGGTGCAGCAGGCGGCATGCATAGTGCAGGGTGCAGCACGTCTCGGGCACAGGGCAGGGTGCAGCGAGTGCGGGGTGCAGCAGGCTGCGTGCACGGGGTGGGGTGCTACAGGGGTGCGGGATCCAGCAGGCCGTGTGCACGGGGTGGGGTGCAGGGGGCGCTGGGTGCTTGGGTTGCATGCTCGGGGCAGAGCGCCAGGGGCTGTGGCTGCGCTGCCGCAGGCTGGCTGCGGGCGAGGGGAGAGGGAGCTCCCTGCTGGCAGTGCTGGTGCGGGCTGGGCTCTGCCCCACCAGCCACGCTCCGTGCCACACCCGTGTGCATGTGCAGCTGCATCCCCCCACACACCCCCCAGCAAGCCCTCCTGTCCCTTGTCCTATCCCCGGGGCTCTGCAGCAGCCCAGCCCTGCTCCCCCCAGCTCCGTGCCCCCGTGCCTCCTTACAGAAGGGAGAGCGCCCTGGCCCTGCACAGCTGCAGCCCCTAGGTCTGTCCACGACACGGGGCTCCATCGCAGGTGGACCACGGACAGTACAGAGCCAGCCCAGCCCTGGTGACGGCCGCGTGGCTGGGGTCACGGGTGCCGGCCGGCCACATGCATGTTTCATGGAGGAGCTGCCAGCTCCTGCCCCAAGCGGCCGCAACTTGAGCTGCGTGGCTGGAGTTTCAGGCATGGGTCAGAGGGTGCCAGGCTCTGGTGCCACCAGACCCATTCACGCACATGCCTCTGGCACAGCCCTGACACCATGGCCCTGGCACACCTGTGGCCCTGGCAGATGCACCTGCCCGCTGCAGCCCTCCTCCACCAGCACTGGCCGTGGCCCCTGGAGCCAAGCTTCTCTGCCAGGGCTCGGCCCCATGCACTGCCCGGAGGAGGGG